GTCCATCGGTTCGATGGTTGGTCTTTCCATCGATGCTCTGGTTAGTCTTTCTATCGATCCAGATTTAGTATTTTCTACCTTGATGTCTTCATCGGTCTTCTGGTCCTTCATCACTTATTGTTTTTCATTACTTTTTACATTTTGCATTATGGGATCTAACACCGAGCTTCCTTACGCTCACCCTTCATGCTTTTCAAGTCCTTTTGAGGAACCAGCCATGGAAGATGAGTACAACATGGCTGATGATGTCAAACTACTCCTCACTACCGTCAAGACAGTCTTTATCAAAATGGACGAAGTTCATAAAAGGCATGCCTCTAAGGGACGAAGTAGCTGCTGACCTCTTAGTTCCCGGGCTGAAGTACGAGAGGTCAAGGACCAGCTATCCACAATGCAAGTGGCTGTCTTAGCCAACGTTGAGGCCATCAAAGCTTTAAAAAGCAAGGCCGATTAAGCAAACTCTCACCTTCCTAAGCATACATAGATCTGTCAGTGCCACAAAAAGCGTCGCCCTCAGGGGGAGCAAGAGGATAAAGAGGTGACTCAACCAAAGAACCAGAGCACAAAATCGAAAGACAAGGGTGTTGCTAAAGAAGGCAACCTTAAGGTACTGTTCCAACCCTTAGAGCCTATAACAACTGAGTTCTCAAGTCTTATCACCATCATGTCCATGTATCAACTCTCCATCCAACCACTACCTGTGGTCGGCTGGAGGAATGAGTCCCTGAAAACCCATCCTCCAACGCTCCCACCGATCAGCTGAWGTCTTAGCTAAGGGAGTCGCTCGACCAAACTAGAGTAAAAATTACTCTTTGTACCTCTAGTTGTGGTGCGTTCGACTTCCTGACACAAGCTGAAAGACTCGAGGCACTCAAGACCAAGGAAGAACTCAATCTTCAATGTAAACAGACTGAGGATAGCTTAAACCTGGCCAAGTCTCTTGTTGCCAAAGTTCTTCCAAGGAAGAAATCCCAAAATATGGTGAATGTTGTCCAGGCCCAGGCTAAGCTTCTCTCTATTGCAGAAGCTGAACGCGAAAAAGCACTGATGTTGGCTAAACACGACAGAAAATGCAGCAAAGATTGTCTACACAAGAGAGTCAGCCCTCATCCTATTTCAAACGTCACCATCAACGAACAGATTAAAGACGGTGGATTCTTGGTCTTAATGCTCATCTTCAGGGATAACCTTGACGCGGTCACCGAGTATCCTTCCTACCTGGGCGAGTATGGCTATAGTGAATGGCTGGAGATCCGCCAAGCCCTTCAGTTCTCAAAATCAAGACATAAGCCGATTATCGAAGATATCATCAGCGATCTGATCAAAAAGATGTCCAGGTATGTCACTGTCCCTGAAAAGCCTACTCTGAAGAAAGGTGGAAGAAGAAAAAGACCTTCAAGTCCAAATGACAAACCAACCTTGAGGAACGAATATGAAACAAAGTTCTCCTTGGATGAAGTCCTGAAGGCTACGAAGAAGCTGAACATTTTTATTCTGAATCTCTCATTGCCAGCGAAGGGTCCTTACATACCCAAGACTGTGCACATCAAGACTGAGTTAGGATTTATCTTCCTTGACTATGAAGGCGATATCAGCTTCCAAAGAATGTCAGAGTTACATTTATGCCCAATGGAACATCTCGCATACATCAGATATTGGCTAGATGATTATATATATGGTGAAACAATGGACATCAAGATCATAAAGGAATTTCGACGTCGAAAGGAACTCGAAGAAGATGTACCTGGCTACATCAATCTGAACAACTTAGATTAGTTATTTCTATTTTGTAATTTGTCTTTCACTGTATATCTTTTGTATTCTATGTCTACTTTCAGTATTCAAATTATATATTGTAAGTCTAAGAAATGTACTGAAAAACTTAT